AAGAGACGGGAGGGGGGAACGGGGGGTCCTCCGCGCAGTCAGCCCAGGAGAAACGGCCCGGCGCCACTGCGGAGGCGGGGGAGGCCGGCCGAGCGGAGGCGGGGGAGGCCGCGGGGGAGGGAGGGGCGAGGCGGGAGGCCGCCGGCGAGGGGGCGGCGGCGTCGCGCGCAGGATCGCCCGCAGGGTCGCCAGCCATCGAGTTCTTCTGATTCGCCCGTAACCAAAGATTGGACGGCAACATTGGACTTCCATAGTACAACATATGAGCTTGGTGAAAGGTGTTTTAATAAGCTCATCAATAGGAGTTTAATCCAACCTGGGAAGTCAGAATCATTTGATAGGGTCAAGATTTGTCGAATTCATGACACAATTCTTGATTTCATCATATCCAAGTCCACCGAAGAAAACTTTGTTACTTTGGTAGGTGTTCCTAGTTTGTCTGTTGGGACACAAAGCAAAGTTCGTCGGCTCTCCCTACAAGCCGGCAAGCAAAATGAATTGATAATGCCAAAAGGCTTGGTGTTGTCTCATGTCCGATCACTTGATGTGTTCGGGGCATCATTGAAAATTCCTTCTGTGGGTAAGTTCAGGCATTTGCGTTTTCTATACTTCAAATGTTGCAACCAACTAGAGAACCATCACCTTGAAAATATAGGGGGGTTGTTTCAGCTGAGGTACTTGAGCCTTCGACAAGCGTTCAAACTAAGCAAGCTCCCAGAACAAATCGGACACCTATGGTGCTTAGAGATTCTGGACTTAAGAGGCACCCGTATTTGTGAGTTACCAGCATCTATAGTCAAACTCAAGAGATTGGTGCACCTATTAGTCAACGACAATGTTACACTTCCTTGTGGAATTTCCAAGCTGCAAGCACTGGAAAAACTGAAGGATATCAGCGTCTGTAGGCAGTCATCAACTTCCATACAAGAACTTGTGCAGCTGCAGAGTCTGAAGGTATTGCAACTTGATTTTAAAGAATCTGTTTCTACTGACCAAGTAAACACTGAAAATGAGTCGAAGAAAGCTATTATTGTCACTTCCCTTAAAAACCTAGGGAACCTTCTCTCTGTAATTGTTTGGTGTGGCCCCGAATTAGTAGGGGAATCTTTGTGCCCTATGCCACTTTGCCTCCAGAAGCTTATGGTCTGGGATTCGAGTATTCCCCATCTTCCAAAGTGGATAGGCTCCCTTGTCAACCTCCGGGGCTTACGCCTTGAATTGGTCAGAGCTGAGCAGAAAGATTTATATATCCTTGGAGGCTTACCTGTTCTGCGTTATCTGGCTCTGGATATTAGCGATAGTGAAATTATAAATACCCCTTTAGCAGAAGAGCCTGAAATTATAAATACCCCTTTAGCAGAAGAGCCTGAAGTTACAAGCGTCATAATCTGTGATGATGTTGGATTCCCATGTTTGAGGATATTTAATTATTATGTTTGGCTTCCTGGGATCAATTTGTCGTTTGCGGCTGGAGCCATGCCCAATGTAGAGAAAATCCATATATTATTTAACACAACAAATACTGACTCTCTCGGAATCGAAAATCTGCCCGGCCTCGTTACTATCAAATATGAAGTAATGGGGGTGCACGACAGAAGAAGAGTTAACGCTGCAAAGGCTGCCATTCAGGAAGCAGCCAACGCACATCCCAACCACCCTACTCTATCCTTTGTCTAATAATGCGTTGCCGGAATCTGAGGTACTATTCTTTTTCTCCCCATAAAAGACCAAGCAATACTTTATTTCACAAGATTTATGTATCTCTCTCATCGGCTCACATGATCGTCTGTCTGTCTTTTTTCAGATCACGGAACTATTCCAATCAGGCTGCAACTCCAAAGGTTCATCATCCCTGCATTTCTGAGATCGAAGAATTCATCATTCTCTGCGAGGATGGATCATGGATGGATCTGCCTCCCTGCTGGTACATACTGCGCCAAATCTAAATCTTTGTTCTGGTTGTCGTGTATAATGTGCTCCCACCAGCCCCAGCTAGAGAACTGCGTGTTGCACACTTCAGATAGAGATGTATGAAATATTTGTTGGCCTTCTATTTCTTGATAATGTATGAAAGATGAAAGGCGAGTAACTGTTCTATACGTGTACGAGTTTATTTATTCGTGAATTTGCATGTGTTTCCTGAAAGATTTGTTGGTAGTACTAGTTGAAGATCTCTTCTGGAAGTAACGTGTTCAGTATTTGGCCATGTGCTTGTAGACGGAGTGTTAGCGAAGGCGGAGAAGGAAAGGAAATTGTCGATGGTTAATAAGCGGGAGGAGAGCCAGAAGAGCAAAGCCGACAGCAGGTGGCCCAAACTCAACTCAGCTGAATTTATCTGAACTTTGCATAAATAAATCCTTCTCTATGCATGGGTGTTTGGTCAGTCTTATTAACTCAAAGTGTGACGCTTCAGGGCCAAGCAGAAGATGTCGTTGATGATGTCGTGCCGTGGGAGAATACCAAAGCGGGCCTTGACGTGAAGCTCCGGATACAAGAGGTCTGGACTCTCAATCTGAACCTTGCCAAGTGGCCTTCCTGGCCAACCACCATTCAGTTGCAAAATCAGATTCAGAGGACCACGTCAGGATGCGCTCATGCTATCTCTTGTGTGGGAAGCTCTGAACGCCAGAGGTCTCGACTCTGAATCTGGACCGTGCCTAGTTGCCTTCCTGGCCGACGATTTAGTTGCAAAATTCAGATTCAGAGTATCACGTCAGAATGTGCTCATGCTCACCTCTTGTTGTGAGAGGAGAACCAGAAGACCAAGGCCGACAACAGGTGGCCCATACTCATCTGAATTTAACTGAACTTGGCACAGCAGAATTCTTCTCTCTGCAATTGCATGCATGTTTGGCCAGTCTTAACTTGGTAATTATTGTGCTTCAGGGCCGAGCAGAAGATGCCATCGATCCTGTCGTGTCGCAGGAGAACACCAATAACGTAGACGGCCGTAAGGGAGAAGCTCCGAACACGAGAGGTCTTGACTCTGAATCTAAACCTTGGCTTCCAGGCCGGCTCTTCAGTTAGTTGCAAAATTCAGCATGCCCTGTGTATGACCATGCTGACCTTTTGTGTGACAAAATGGTGATAAAGAGAAATGAAAGTTGTACACACACATGAAAACATGCATAACTAAATCGTGACCACACCACACCATACTGATTAACTCTGAGGACCGATCTTCCTCCGAATTGCAGGAGAAACTGGAGAAGAAGGCGGAGTAGGCGGACAAGATGCAGAACCAGGTCGCGACGTTCCACTTACACAAGATGCAGACGAAGGCTGAGGAGCAGAGGACTGCCGTGGAGGCAAGGCAGCATGAGGAGAACACCTAGAACCATGACGGTTGTCGAGGAGAAGCTCCAAACACGAGAGGTCTTGACTCTGAATCTGAACCTTGCCTTCCTGGCCGGCCCTTTATGAGTTGCAAAATTCAGATTCAGAGTAACACGTCAGGATATGCTCATGCTCACCTCTTGTATGACAAATCACGAAAGGGTTAATGGTAATTGGTGAAATGTGAAAATTGTACACACACATGAGAACAAACAAACGCAACTTGTGAAAATAGTACTAATTAACTTTTTGTACTGATCAACGTCTGAATTACAGGAGAAACTAGAGAAAAAGGCGCGGCGGAACCAGGTCGTGACGAGCCAGAGCAAGGAGGCAAGGCGGCAGAAGGAGATGATCAGGTGCCCGGAGACGACCACAACCAGGCTCAGGTCCAAAGGGACCAGGCCCATGGAGAAAAATGCGCGGCTGAGCAACCAACGCACGCATAGATTACGATCTTCAATGTCCGAAAGAGAAACCAGATGTGCACTGGCTTCTATTCGTTTGGAACATCGAGCACAAGCTTCGATCGTGGATGCATTATATCCAGTAGAGAGAATTCACCTTGTTTTACATTTTTTAGAGTAATTACCCCTTTTTGTCTGTGACACCTCCCTTCTTACTGTGAAAACAGAGCACCTGCTGTGCTTGCCAAAAACAAGAACAGAAAAGAACAAACATGGGAGGGTGGACATGGACTCGATTATTCAGACTAACTAAACACGACACACCTGACCTGATACACGAACTGACACCAATTAATGGATACAAGCTGTGCTCTGCGGTGCAGCCATGCTAACATGGATTATCGATCTCATACTCTCACATCTGAAATCAAATCAAAAAGACACGGTAGCATGCATCTGAACGACGGTCGATGGTCGGCTCAATGTACACCGCAAGCCATGTTGCTCCAGGTCCGGTGTGCCGATCGATGAAACACGACTTACGAAGAAACCATAACTAACGTCGCTGTACAACTGAGTCAGGCTACACACGCACAACCCTCTTATTACATGGAAGACCACCTCGTCTCTAGTTGTCTGTCTTACATAGTGAGCCGACATACAAGTTCACTGAATGCTAGCTGCTATCTACACAGTGAACTCACATACAAATTCATGAATCCTGGCAAAAGCAATGACGCCTACAGCAAGCTGCAGCATGTTCACACTTGCTCCATCATGTGAAATTTCACCAGGGTGACACAGCGTAATTCAACCATGCATCAACACATGAACATGGTAAGACATTAACAGTTTCACATACAAATCTTATGTTTCATGCTCGCACCAAGTATATATATTGGCATCGACTATGACATTGTGAGAGAAACGCCATTGGTAAGAACCTTCTAGACATTGAGTTCATCCCTTCTAATTAAGTCATGTTGCAAATGGCTTCACGAAAGCCTTACCATAAGAATCTAAACAGAGTTCAAGTGAAATCTCAACTTATCCATGTTATGACCAAGAGAGGTTATTATAGCATGCCAGAAAATTATGTACTTCTTCATGTACACAATGGTTACGAGTAAGAGATGAAACCAAATTGTACACCAATAAGACCAAAGGCTTGTTGATCAAAATTATAAACAACTCAAACCGTGCAAGCTAGGAGAGACTAGTGATCCCTATTAATAAACAACCACAAAACTTCTATGGAGGTTGGAACACTTAACCATTCACCAAAGTTTACAAAGCCACCTGCAACTTGGACACTGATAACTCGTGTCTTGTGGTACCATCACTCACTGTGAGAGTGTACCCATTCAGTACATACCCATTGAGCGACCAATGCTATAGTAATACATGTTTTCCCAAGGCAGGTCACCTCAGCATCGAAACTTTGCCATGCTTGCAGAAGAAGTGGCGCATCAAAGATCTATCCACACCCGGAGGCACGTTTTGCATGACGAAAAGAAGGGCTCCTTGGACCATTCTGGTCACCTATCCTTTAGGATAGAGTTACTTCCAAGAGTTGGATGATATGCCTTTCGTGCTTGCAGCCTTGCTTTAATTACCTTGAAAAAAGATAGGTTAGGGACTATGACCGTTATGATGCCAAACACACATGGCGCACGTGCACAGACACCTGCATGCATATGATGACAAACACACATGGCGCCCACACACGTGCA